AAATTAATAATGCTAAATTTGCATGTGTATATCTTGAATTAGTTACTATCAGTTAGAAAATAGAACATTATTTTCTAGTAACTGAAGACCTTAATCTGAGGAGAATACAGAGGAAACACAGAAGCAAACAAATAATTCAAACTACTTAACATTTTCTCATTGACTATGCTGTTTCATGGCTAATAAATAAGGTTCAAATAATGAATGCTTAATTGATTTGTTTTGGTTTTTATTGCATTTGCCACCCACTGTTAGTGTAGCTAGATAAATCCTAGAGCAGCAACCAACACCAGCAGGACCTGAACACACATTCACTACCGAAGGAATTATAGCCTCAAATCCTATCTTAGGAAACAGCGCAATAACTTTTCCTACCAAAAAATCACTGTGTTTTAGACAATTAGTAAACAATAATGTGAGGGTGAAACAACAAAACAAATCTCATTGCAAAGCTCTCACCAAATGGGGAAATTAAAGAATTAGCAGTGAAGCTGCAGAGCTTTTAATCTTGGTGTAGCTGGATTTAGTACCAGACTGTAGGAAGTTACTCACTGTTTTCCTCCCAGTTGCTCAACCACTGATGTAACACCAGTTTTCACTGGCAAGGCAGCAATGCATTTCTGGTTTAGGTGGTTCACCATGCTCTGACTGATGGCGTAGCATCACATCACTTCTTCAGTGCTAGTCAGAGCAATCTGCACTATCCACCTCCATCTTCTTCCTTATTATCGCTCAATGTGGCTTCCTACTTTAAAAGATAATAGGAAGACAAAAGCTGAATTAGTCAGGTAGTGAAAAGGATGGGGAAAAAAGAGAGAATGCTATATTAACAAGTGTCTGATCTCCATTACTTAAAGAAATGCAAAACTGAAACTCATCCACCTTCCCCTACTCCCCTACTTACCCATCTTTAATGTCTAAGATGGGCTTTCAAGGAATAAGTGAACTGCAAGTGAAGGTGCTTTGTGAAACCTTGCTCACTTCTGGAAAGGGCTCTCTGTGCAGGATGCCAATGTGGCTGCAGGAAAAAATGGGCAGAAGTTCATAATGCAGTTGTTATCACAAGAGATGAAGTGGCAACACAAAGAGTTGGTAAGTAGAGAGAAACAGAAGTTTCAGTGTACTGGGATAGGAGCTGAATACACTAAAGGTATCCTAAAGAGAATAAACACGATGTTTTACAGTAAAACATAGCACAGTAGATTATATGGACAAATGTGTGAGAAAGGGAAGTTTAGAGCAGCATGTCAGCTGGAAAAGCAGCACTGGGAGAGCTAGAAAGGGAGATTCTGCTGCATGAAAGGTAATTTTTCAGAGAGGGGCTTTAGAGAAAGAGATTATAGGATTATTTGGTCACAAATTGAATGCGAGTAACTAACTAGAGGAATTGTCTCTAAGCTATGGACTAAGAAAAAATAACATCTAAGCAGTTACAATAGGTGTGACATTGGAAGAGCTGAATTAGCAGTCAGGAAGCTCATTATTCAAATGAATATGGACAAACTTAAAGGTGATGCTCATATGGGAACACTCTGTTTAACCAGGCAGCATAAATATGCGTAGAACACTGTCCAGTCACCTTGTCACCTTGAAATAAGCACTGTAACTTAAAAAGCGTGTGGTCTCAACAACACAATGCTGGAGCTAAATCTGCAGAGACAAGTAATCTGGTGAGATGTGCATTGCAGAATGTTAGTCAGAGCTACTCACAGCACTGAAATGGTGGCATGGGGCCCTTATTTTGAGATGCAATGAGTGTCAGCAGATCCAGTGCTGTCACTTGACTGACCTTGCAGGGAAACAAAGGTAACAAAAAACCCTAGGCAGTGGGGAGGGAATTCCCAGTTACAGATTTAAACATACAGGTCAAAAGATACTGAGAATTTTCCTCTCTGGGCTATCAAACCAAAAAGACTAATCTCCTTGTGAGTGAACGGCATAGGGAGTATAGTGAAATACATAAAATGAAAATCATACAAGAGAAGAATAACCTTTCCTAGAGAGGAGTTGACTCCACTGGAAAATAAAAATAAAAATAATCAATTCTATGAGAATAGCCATGGCAAGAACACATCATGGTCAGACTAATAAAAAAAAAAAAGAAAAAAATAGACCACCATGAATCTGCCAGAGATGAATGATCACTGCTTCTTGCCAAAACCGAAACTTTTGACTGTATGTTGCTGAGGTTTCATTAAAAAAAAAAAAAAAAACAACAAAAAAAAAAAATCCAAAACAAAACAAACCGGGAAAAAAAAAAAACCAAAACCCCCAAAAAACTCATCTGAAAGCAGCTTAAAGAACATCCTGCTCAGAGGTAGTTATGACTGATGTGTGCTTGAGGCTCTTGCGCGGGAAGCCTGAGCCCGTGACAGCTTTGAGAGGAGCTTTTCACTGCCATCTAATGGTACGCTGAGCGAAATTACACTGAAGTCTTTACCCCCTCGGAACATCTTGGTTGTAGTATAAAGCAGGATTAATCATTCTTAACTTAATTTTTGCACTGTTTTTTATTAAAAAAGGCACATACTGACCCAGGCTGGGAGTTCCCTTTCATGATCCTTCAACTCTGTGGCACGGGGGGAGTCTGACAAGAAGACCTGAGAGAGACATTGAAGTTCCTCTACAGTCCAGGGCTGAATGAATCCGGGATGGAGTAGGGTGGGGGAAATTCCAAAAAAACTTTGATAAGCATCTGCTTTCATGACTGACATGTAATAATAACATGATGTACCCTTCCAACTAGATCAACTGGAACAGTTTCCCTCATAGCTGGACTAGGAAATTAAGTAAGTGTGACAGAGGTGATGTCTCTGTTTGGGCTTGCGAAATGAGACAAATCAGATTTGTGATGCCTGTTCATGACAACCAGGTTGCATTTCCTCTGCATCTGATTAATTTCTGTTTCTGTGAGATGCAACTGTATCATCATATTTTAAGATATAAAAGATGGGGTGACTTCAGACACAGTCTTTACCTTGCCATTCATTATGAAGGTGTAATAAGCATTGTGTAATAACTGAACAACATAGAAAGGCACTAATACTTATATTTTGGTTTACTAAGAGTAAGTTAACCTCACTCTCAGCCATGTTGGATCATTAATCCTCCTGAGACAAATCAAATTCCAAAAGATTTGAAGAGACTGGGGTGTATGGAAAGACAGGCTTGGGGTGGTTTTTGTAGGGTTTTGGCTGAGAGATTTTTTCCTCCTTGAAGAAGGTAGCATTTCTGCTAAGGGAATTCATGCTGCTCTCGACTTTTTTTTTTTTTGTTTTGACTTACTATGTGCCATTATGAAAACAAGAAAGGTACTCTTACTGTACATTTTTTCCCCCCTCAGAAAGTATGTATGTATATTTTATAATATATAGGGGAAAGTGCTAATAAAGTTAGAGGCTATCATCTTAACTGAAATAGATCAGAATCTCACAGAAGTTAGTACAGGAACATTCAAAATGCATAAAGGCACAAAAATTTTCAGGGATTTCTTCCCAGTGAAGTTTCTAAGGAGGGGAAATAGCTTTGCCTGTGAATTGTTCCATTGCCAAATATCCCTGACATAAAAACCTCCCATTCAAACATTTTATGACAAAGTTTATACAGGTATAAAATTAAGCAAACACTTTAAATGCCCGTGCTAATTGCACAGCTGCTGTCCAGCAGTAGTTCTGCAGTTATATCACTTTTCAGATTTGCCAGTATTTTTCCAAGGGATGAGGCTCTGTATTTTTTCAAGGGTCTGTCAGGTGAGGTGGCCAGTACTTTAAAGCAGGACTACAAAGTCAAGGAGCTTTTCCATCTGCCAAAATTACCCTTAACCTTGTGCAGCCACTTACATGAGGGCAAGATACTACCAATCTGGTTGCATTCTGTGCCTACTCTGTATGGATACAGAGATTTCCCCAAATGTTGAGAAATTGGAGTGTTCAGAAGCACCAAGAGATTGGTCCACACCACAGAGAAATCTGGGAGAAGGCAGAAGAGAGGATGGACTTCTCTGAGTTTCTGAGCTCCACAGAAATGGAATTATGAATTACCTCCAGTAACTGAGATGCAGAGTAAAAGAGGGAGATGCAATGTGAAGAAAAGTAAGAAAGATAGGGGGGAAATGTAGGCCACAGAAGGGTTTGGATTAGATTGTCATGGTGGCCAAGCCCTTCAAATCAATCTGTGGTTGGAAAACTTGTGCATCTCCTGGAGTGATTTCCTCAGTGAGAGATTTTCATGTATTTCTGCTTTGGGAATGTGGTCAGAGCATGAGGGGCAGAAAATACAGAAAAAAACTTCCCTGGAAAGCTGGAAAATTTATAATGGAAAACTGCTCCATCTCAGTGGAGCAGGAGACAATCAGTGGCTGGACCAGTCCTCCAGCAGAGGACAGGGCAGAGGTTGGCCCAAGCACAGAGGGCTCTTCCCGTGGAACCTCCCGGTTTGCTGAGGAGGGATTGGCAGGATACCCGCTTCAGCCTGCGGCCCTCCTGTCTCTCTCCCAGCTTGCTCCAGCCTCTGCTCCCAAATTGATGGGCACAGAGTGCAAAAGGGGAGAGGCAGTCCCAAATATCTAGAGAAAGGATGCCAAGAGAATGGAGCCAGGTTCTTCTCGGTGGTGTCAACTATTAGGACACGAGACAACAGCCAGAAAATGATGCACAGGAAGTTTCACCGGTACGTGAGGAAGAACTTTTTTACTACGCGGGTAACTGAGCACTGGAATAGGCTGCCCAGAGAGCTTGTGGGGTCTCCTTCGCTGGAGACACTCAGCAACTGCCTGGACACAATCCTGTGCAGCGTGCTCTGGGATGACCCTGCTTGAGCAGGGAGGTCGGACCAGATGACCACGGCGGCGCCTTCCAGCCTTGCCCGTTCCGTGATTCTGTGAGAGGCGGCCACGGGGCGGGGAACGACCGGCCGCCGCCCGCCCTGCCCGTCCCGCCCCGGGCGCGGAGCGGGTCCGCCGAGCCCCGGCCCCGCCAGAGGGCGCCGAGCCGGGGCTGCGGCGGCTCCGGGGCTGCGGCTCCGCCTCCGGCGGGCGAGCGGCGGCGCGGGGACGCAGCGCGGCCCGGGCCGAGGCCCCGCGGCACTCAGGTAACGCCGCGCCCCGCGGCCGCGCTGCGCCGGGGCCGGGGCGGGCGCGCCGCGCCTACGAGGTCGCGGGGCCGGGTCGCGGCGGCGGCCGGGCCCCTACGGCCTCCCGGGGCGGCCTGCAGGGAAGGCGGGGCCGGCCGGTCCCGCCGGCACCGAGCGGCCCGCCGCGGGTCGGGCCGGGGCCGGGGCCAGGGCCGGGGCCGGGGCGGGGCGGGGCGGGGGCGCGCTGCCCGCCCGAGCGCTCCGGCGGGGCGGAGGGGCGCGCCCGCGGTGCCGGGCCGGCTCACGGCCCTCCGGGCCCGCTCGCACCCGCCGGCCTGCGCGGAACGAACTAAGGTCGAGCGCTAAAAAGAAGCAATAATATTTGTTTGCATGTTCAAAAAGCTGTTGGAATTTGCCCCCGAACTGAGGAGGGGCCTGCGTCTTCTTCGATACTGTCCTACAATTCGAAGTATAGGTCATGTATTTTAAGCTCACATATTTAGATACAAGAAGAAAGCCGGCGGAGGTGTGGTTATTTTTATTTGGCCAGTAATTGCTCTCATTAATCGGGGCTTTTTTTCTCAGCCACAAATACCGCCTCATTTCATATTTCGGCAAGGGTCACTTGGGTGCGGGAAACCAGACTCTAATCTCGTAAGGAAACACGTGTTTCCGTGGATATAAGATCAGAGTAAAAGCCAGCGCAGCACCCAACTAATAGGGGATGTAAATGAGTTTCTGAGAGCGTTGAACGATACCTGCAGTGTTTTGGTGGTGTTTCCACCTACTTGTCCCAGGCTAGAGAGAGGAGCAGCAGCACCGGGGAGCTTTCATGTGAGCCTGATGTTGCCCGTGTCGCTCCTGGTGTCACGGCTGTTGCAGCCGTGTTATTTCTGCCGAGCACTACCGCGGCGCCAGTTCCCCTCCGGGGAAACAGGGGGGGACGTTGTGCCGCGTTTTGCCACGCAGGAGTGTTGTGGTCCAAGCAGAAACGGAGGTTAAGCAGCTTTCGGCTTTTCTGGATTTGCTTGCTTGCAGTGTTCAGCAGCTTGCTTGTGTTGACAATGACTCATGATAAATAGAGATCTCCCTGTGCTTTTTATGACACAGATAGCGGCGTTTCTGTGTATTTTGTGAACTGTCTTTCAGATGTAGGGAGGAAAGCACCACAAATGTGTTTGCACAGTTAATGTTGAACACCAGAAAAGGAATTTAAAATGGAATATTCTGTTGGGCATTTCTGCATTTGTTTCTCATCTGGTGTCTTAGCTCTTTGTAGCTTTAGCCAGTTTATGAGAAAGTCGGATCATAAAGCCACCTAAAGCCTTGTGCTTTCAGGTGATACATCACTGTATGGGGAACTGAATACTCATCTTTTTTGTAGTAACTGTTACACCATATGTGGGGAAATCCTTCCAATCCGTCAAAGCAGTTGCTCATTCTTACATACAAAACAAAAATGTTTGTTTTATTTTAGGTTATATGCTATGACTGGCTTCAGACTCCCCATCAGCACTTTCAGAAAACTAAATGTTTGGTTTGGACTGTGGGAGAAATTCCCCTCAAATAAACTGTATCCCACTTGGAGGAGAAGCTTATTCTGCAGCTGTCAAGCAAACACAGTAGACTACAGAAGATGTTTCAGTTTTTCCCCAATCAGACTCAGTGCATTAAGATTCTCTCCAGAGTATATCTCAGTACTTTCTCTGAGGAACAAAAGCAGCAAAAGCTCTAAAAGGAGCAGACAAAGCATACAAGAAGAGGAGGAAGAAGAGGATGAAGATGAAAGTAATTTGGAAGATGAATTTGAAAATGACCCCAACATAGTAAAAGATTACAAGGATCTTGAAAAAGTAGTGCAGTCTCTTCGATATGATGTGATCTTGAAAGCTGGCCTAGACATGGCAAGAAAGTAAGTACAGAAGAAACAACTTGCTAGTGAGAAAGATGTTATACATCTAAAATTTGACTTTTGATAAACTTTTATTGCTGGAATAACTTAGTATTTGTGCGTGTTTTTGTGGTGTAGCTTTTTTGATTCTCTAAATATATATTTTGGATGTATGGACATTCCTGTTTGTTTCACCCTACCCCCCTTGAAACAGCCTGATTTTGCTTTTCCCTGTCTGCAGTATTTCTAAGATTGCTGAGGAGGCATTTTTTATCACTTCCTATTTATTTAAAATAAAGAAAATACAAAATACTGTACTAAGGTCTAATTTGAGATTGAGGAAGTAAAATAATGCAGTATTTAATGAATGGAAAAATAGGGGATGGTAGGTATCAGTTTCACCAGTCCACCAGGTACATGTGCAGTCTATAAATGTATCACAGTGATTGACCTAATGCAACCTGCAGAAGTCTGATATCACTGTGTTGTTAGAACAGAATATTAGTATAACTTGATCATTAACAAATTATTAAACTGGCTGATGCAGAAAAGGGGATATTATTTATTGAATATTCAGGAGACAGATCTATAGAAACAGCTTTTCTGGCACAGAGCAACTATATGCTGTTATTTAATTTGATATCTGTGAAAGCCCTTTTCTTTACTTCCAGTTCAGTCTGTCCTGACCTTAAGTGAAAGTGTCCTTTACACACAAATTAGAGGTGTAGAAATGTGCCTTGTCCATGAATGGTAGTGTTGTGTTTCTGCAAAGAAACAATTGCATTTGGTTTGCTGCACACTGTAACTGCAATAAAACCTTGTTTTTCTTCAGTAAAATAGAAGATGCATTCTACAATAATGAACTCAGGCTGAATGGAGAAAAATTATGGAAGAAAAGTAGAACTGTAAGACTTTTTTTAATTTATTTTTTTAAAATATAGTACAAGAAAATAGCTAAGGCATTATCTTCTCCCTCTAGATCACTCTGCAAAGGTGAATGCACAGGAGTTCCACCCTGGGGGGGATGGTGTGACCATGGTTCCCTGGGTAAAACATTATTCCCTAAGGCAGACAGGAAACTTGTGTGGTTGGAGAGTCAAATCTAAGGCTGAAAGTCAGGAGAAGGCAGCAAGGACAGAACATTTTAAGTTGCTGAAGGAAGTGATGGTATCACTATGTGAGATTTGATGGAGTAGGAATGATTAAATCTGAGATATTGGTGGAGCAGGCACATGATTAAAGAAAAAGAGGAAGTTTGATGATAGAAAGTACATTGATTGAAACTGGGATGACTGAGGGAAGGTTGTTGTACCTGTAATAGAGCACACAGGACTAGAGTTAGGAGAGAGCCAGAGGGGTCACCAGACATATACTTCTACCAACCCTTTCTTCATGTAAGGATGATCCTCGGTGGTGGCTACTGTCATTAAAAGGCAATAGGATGAGAAGTTTTGATTCCTGATCCCATAGAGTTAAGGCTGCTTTACAAGAGGTGTATTGCTTCTGTGACTTTGAGAGGAGCACAAGCAGTTGCTGAGCACTCTGTTCTTTGAAACACTTTAAACTGTTTTAAAGGCATGAGGAAGAACTTTGCATTTTGCTGTTGATAGAAAAAGATTGGTGGGAAGCACACTTTGGGAGAAAAAGACATACATAAAACCATTTTCACAGAGTTGGGTGTTGGTTGTGTAACACAGAGGGTGAAGCTCTTGGCAGGGAAGGTCATGAGACATGTAATTGCATATTGCCACGGCTTTCCTAGAAGTTCATCGTTGGCGATCTATAATAGGTCAGGTATTGGCTGCCTTCCTCCTCTCCTGTGAGATAAGAATATTAAGTGGAAAGAAATGAAGATTGTGGGGATTTGTTTTCCTCAGGGAATGTTTATAATCACTCATCTTTTCTTTCTGTTTCTAGGTGAAACTTGGTGACACACTGGATCTCATACTAGGTGAAGATAAAGAAACAGGAGCTGCTGTAGTTATGCGGGTAGTCTTAAAAAAATTATCTGACAAAACTGAAAGTGAAAAATACAAAGTTATTTTGAGGCGCTGGAAAAACTTAAAAGTGCCCAAACAGGATGTACTGAAGTAACTAGGGGTTGCATGTGGCAGCATAAGATTTTTGCAGAAAAACATATTTTTTTGTTAAATATGAATTTTGGTTGAACAAAATTACAGTACCCTTTTTTAAGGGCTTGTGTCAGAATCTTATCTCGCTCTGCTGCGCACATCAATAATTATGCAATAAAGCCTGTCACTTTTTGCTGTTAGCTTTGTCTTGTGGTAAACTGTAACTTAAAAGATCCAACACTTATATTTCCAGGAAGTTTCTTATAAATAATGAATCAATAAAGACTGATTTGATCACTATTTAATTGCTATCTAATTCTGTTAATCAGAAAGGTTACATTAAAGCTGACATCACGTCAAGCAAAATTGCTTTGTTTTATCTCTGTATTCATGAAATAGGGCGAAAGCCATCAGTTATGTAAAGTTGCTTCTTTTTTCATTATTTAATCTTAATTAAAGGTTAACAGTACCAACTCTATGCTTATGTATGATGCTGCTATACCAAGAATACAGCAGGATACCGATTGCAGTGGCATATTTCTAAGCAGGAAAACTTCATGGTGACAGAGAATCATATAATCAGAACAGTTGATGTTGAAAAGACAAGATCATTGAGTCGAGCTATTAACCCAGCACTGCCAAGCCCATCACTAAATTGTGTGTCTAAGTGCCACATCTACATGCTATTTAAATACATCCAGGGATGGTGACTCCACCACTTCCCTGGGCAACCTGTTCCAATGCTTGACAACTATTTCAGGGAATAAATTTTTACTGATACCCAATCTAAAACTCACCCGGTGCAACCTGAGTCTCTTTCCTCTTGTCAAATCACTTGTCTGGGAGAAGAGACCATCCCCATTCCCTATCACTGTCTGGGCCCAGCCATCCAGACAGGTTTTTACCCAGTGAATAGTGCACCTTTCCAAGCCATAAGCAGCCAGTTTCTCAAGGAGAATGCTGTGGAAAATATCAGAAGCTTTACTAAAGTCCAAGTAGACAACATCCACAGCCTTTCCTTCATACATTAAGGAGGTCACTTTATCACAGGTGGAGATAGGGTTGGTCAAGCGGGACCTTCCTTTCAGAAAGCTGTGATGGCTGGGCCCAATCCCAGCCATGCCAAATGATGCACTCAGGATTATCTCCTCCATGACCTTCCCCAGCACTGAGGTCAGGCTGACCAGTCTGTAGTTTCCCAGGTACTCCTTCCAACCTTCTTGTAAAAGGGCATCACACTGGCTGGCCTCCAGTGACCTGGAGCCTCCTGGGTGAGGCAGGACTGTGGGTAAATGATAGAAGGTGGCTCTGTGAGCTCTTCCACAGTCCCTGAGTACGGTTGGGTGGATGCCATTCAGCACCATAGACTTGTGTCTAAATGGTCCAGCAGGTGACTGACCATTTCCCCTTGGATTATGGGGGCTACATTCTTCTCCCTGTTGTCCAGCTCAGGGGTCTGAGTACCTGCAAAACAACTGTTCTTACTATTAGAGACTGAAACAAAAAATGTGTTAAATACTTCAACCTTCTTTGTCAGTTCATTTCCACCCACACACATCCAATTAATGATGCAGATTCTTCTTAGCCAGCCTTTTGTTGCTAATGTATTTATAGAAACATTTTAAAATGTATTTTATGGCAATAGCCAGATTAAGTTCCTTTTTCTTCCACTTTTCTCTCTGCATAACCTCAGAACATCCCAGTAGTCCTCCTGAGTTGCCTTCTACTTCCAGAGGTCATAAACTCTCCTTTTTTATTGAGTTCCAGCCAAAGCTCTCTGTTCAGACAGGTCAGTCTTCTCACCAGGTGTGTCAGGAAGTTAGGAGTAAACCATGGCAGTGATACTCTGCTCTGACGGAGGATACAGATCAGTGAGGAAGTCTGTGTAGTACTGCTGATTTTTACTGTTTAACTTACCATGCAGAGGAAGATGAAATCTCAGATTGTCATGTATTAATTTCATTGTGGCATTTAGGTGGATATTTAATACTTAGGCTTTGTAAGGAGCTGAGCAAAGGTCAGACCATACTGGGGTGAGAAGCTCACGTCTGGATTAATTCAGGAAAATACTGTCACTTAGGACAGCCATCTCAGGAATGATCACTTGCACTGGTGACATTAAACATGCGCTTTCTCCAACACAACTTTTTGGATGAACTGTGAACCATGAAGATTTTTTATTGTTTATATATGTTTAGACAGCCACACACAGGTGTGTGTCTGCAGGAAAGCTGGCCAGTAGGACCAGGTAGCTACTGTTCATCCAGTCTGGCTCTGCTCCCAACCTAGTCTGGAGAGCCCAGAACAAAAATTGCCCTGAAGAGGCAACAGGAGCATATTCCAGGACACTTTTTCTTTCATGCCAAAAGCTACTTAATAGCTGTGTTTAATCAGGGTGTACCTCTCTATAGCCTCAAAGTGATGGCTGCTGAGTGAAGGATTTAGAGTAGTTTTTTGTTTTCTTCAGGCACAGCTAAAACATGTGCTGTTTTGTTTTGTTTTGTTGGTTAGGTTTTTTGCTTTTATTTGTTTTGTTTTGTTTTTAGCTTGGTTAGGTTTTGGTTTTTCATTCTGTTTTGCTTGGTTTGTTGTTTTGTTTGTTTTTTTTTTCCTGATTGTGTAGATGTTTAAAGATGAACATACATGTTTAGCTATTGAATTACAGGCATAGTGACCTTTATAAAAAATTGTTCTTAAGAGGACGTGATCCTGGAAAGCTCTCCTAGGGGATTTTGGTGATCCTTACTCTGCAAAAGTGAAGGCCCTCTGCAGAGCACCCAGAGGAAGACAGCAGGCTGTACTTTCATTGTGAGCATTGCTGTCACCACTCTATTTGAACTTGCACCAGCTGCAATGGAAATGAAATGCATCTTCTATTCCTCAATTCCACTTATTCTTGCTATTCTAAGTGGCTGCCATAATCTCCAGGGGTGCTGAGAGAAACAAGTAGAGAGGTGTGTTGTAATATGTCAGTGAGCTCCAGCTGCTGGTCAGCAACTTGTCAAATGCTTGTCAGCATGTACACACTGCCTGTCACCTCCGGCAGTAGTAGCTTACACCAGAGCATGCAGGACCAGAGGAAGACCCTACTCAAAAAATGCCAGGAATGCTCTGTGGCTTGGGAATAGCAAAGGTATGGATGTGAAGAAATTAACTTTCTGAAAAGGTCTGTTCTGTGCAGGATGAAAACAGTTAACAAAAACAAAAAAGTCAACACCTTCTTGGCATCCAAGATGAGCAGAGACGTTGCATCCCTGAGATCCAGTAACATACCAAAGAGCACTTAGCAAGGTAATTTGAATAGAACAGAATATAAATACAGTATTACAGCAAAAAGTTAAAGTTTTAACTTCTGGAAAAGCCTTTTGGAAACTAAAGTAGATGAGTACAAACAATCAAGACCTAGCCTGCTCCTAATGATGACAGACTTTTCACTAGAGCCTGTCATGACAGGACAAGGGGCACTGGTATTAAACTGAAAGAGGATAGATTTACATTGGATACAGGGAAGAATTTTTTTTTTTTTCTTATGTTGAAGGTGGTGAGCCATTGAAAGAAGTTGTCCAATTATCCCCCATCCCTGAGGTCTTCAAGGCTAGCTGGATGGGGTTTTTAGCAACCTGGTCTGGTGGAAGGTGTCCCTGCCTATGGCAGGGAGTTGGAACTAGCTGTCCCTTAGAGGTCCTGTCCAGCTCAAATCATTCAGTGATTCTATGACTGTCACCAAAATGGGGCCCTCACTGACAGCAGAAGGTAGAAACAGGCTTTCACAAGTTTTAAGTGTTAATCCACCAGTGGTATGAGCTAAGGAAAAGACAGGCAGACTTCCTAAGGAGTCCTGTGATGAGTGAGACAGCCCTCTGTGGTTTCAGGATTGAAGGGGTTGGAGAGGGAACTGTACCCATGTGCTTCAAAATAGAAAGCTTCAGTCACAAGGCAGGGTGATCTCAGAGGAAAAGTATGACAGCAGGAAGGTGAGTAGCTGTTCTGCTTGGCTACCCTGATCTGTCCTGGATAAGCTTCTCTATTGATCAGACGTTTTTATTGGGGTCAGACACTGCTAAGCAGGTTGCACTTGTTTCTGCAGCCTTTAAATATCATATGAGCTAAAACTGTGACCCAAAGAAGGGTCAGAATGTGTACTGGGAGGTGTAGGAACAGGCATGTCACATCCACAGTTTTTGCTGGACTTGTAGGGGGCATGTAAAGCACACATAAACTGATCTGGGGATCAACCACTCTCTGTGGTGGAAGAACTACAGAGTTTCTTCATGAAGATGGGCTTCTTCATGAAGATATTGCTGAGAGGTAGAAAGGGGAGGCTTGAACAGCCTGAGAAGTGACTGACAAGTTCACAAGAAGCTATCCAGACCACTGTGCTGCCCAAGGCACCTCTGGATTAATCACAGGCAAACCCACCTTCATGCTAGATGTCAAGGCATGGATCTGCAATGGGCAGCCTGCCTGCCCTTGCACAGATGGATGATCTGATCCAGATGACTTTGCCTGGTCCCATAAGAGGCAGGCACTGTCAGACTGTGAGTGGAGGACCCCGTTGACCCTGGCACAGCCTGCAGCATTACCTGCCAGCTTTGTGTGTCTCTCTTGCTGCAGGAGCAGCGCTACACAGCTGCAGAATCTGCTGCATGTGGGCCAGCCTGCATTATGGAGCAGGGCATGGGACAGTTGAGTCCTGTGAAGGAATAGTGGGGAATTGCTCCCACAGGAGTTGGACTTGGGTCTGCCAGAAGAGAGCCTGGTCAACTAAAGCAGGCATATACTGGCACTCCTGAATTGGTTCTGAGTTCTGCTGCCCACAGACTGACAGAGAGGCAGGGTGTATTCCCTGACCCTTCTGGCCACACATAATAAGCAATTCTATTTTTCTTAGAACAGAAAAGCACCCAAGTGTTTCTGAGGGGGAGTTGGGTTTGGGGTTGTGTTGGTTGATTGGTTTGGGTTTTTTGTTGTTTTGTTTCTTGGGGTTGGTTGCTTTTTTCCTGTAATGGCATGTCAGAACAGGACAGTCTGCCTTCAGCACCTACCAAATTACAGTGCTCGGTATGGAAGGGAAAGGAATGCAAAGGGACGCATGTGAGCCATGCACATCTGAGCACTACTGAAGCTAAAATTCATTGGTTTCCAGTGCTTCTGCATACAGACAAGCACTACAGGGAGGGAGACCCTCTTTTGTTTGAGCTCTTGGAAGGAGAGGGAGCAAGAGACAAGCGACAACATTACATGACATAATACTATTCCACATGTAGGATGCAATCCTATCAAGTGACTCATACCCACTGCTGACAGTTACCTTAGGATTTTCTTCTCACAGGAAACATTTGTAGAACTCGCTAACACACCACCACGAGCTAACCAAAGTGGGAAGTTCCTGAAAGTGTAACGATTAAAGGAATATTTTGCCTTCCAGAGAAGTGACCTCTAACACACAAGACTACAAAATTCCTCTGGAAACAAGGATAAACAGTTGCTTTGCTATAATGAAATTATAATATAATAAATATAGTGAAGGAAATTGAAGTGATTACTTGACATTTGTGTGTGTGTGCTCTGTGTGAATAGATACTAATTAGCTGACCTTCCTCCAATATCCAGTAATAATTTCTTTCCATCTATTAACATCAATTTTAGTGTGATTGGACATGTAGGGATTTCACCCATTTTATGACTGGGAACTTTCACTACATTTTAAAACAGAAATTAAGGAAAACAAAGCTAAAAACATAGCCACAACTTGCTCTATTCAATTTTGTCTTGGGGTGTTGGTAAGAAAGGGGAGAAGTGGGAAAAGAACAGCTTTATTTCTCCTCTATTAGCATTCTTCCTTTCCCACAGGAATTAAAGTTCTTCCTTCTGAATTGTTAATCAAAGAAAAATGCTCAGTGAGGACCACAGTTCCATGGCCATTAGCTAGAAATGACAGCATCCAGAAAATTACAAAAATTAAAAGGAATATGGTAGGTAAAAATAATACAGTGTAAGGGCTTATCTCCTGCCAGTCAGATGAGGTGCAAGGAAAATGTGAATGTGATGGAGGTTTAGTTTTGTTAGGAGTCATCTGCTTCCAGCACTGAACTGGCAAAGCCAGGGCAACTCTTTCAACTAGCACTCTGCTAGAGGAGTGATGACCTCTCAGAACAGGACTTATGTGAGCTCTGACTAAGACAGGTGTTATGTATTCTGTGAGACACTTCTATAAAAAATTACAACTATTACTACCAGCGAGAAGTTTTCATGAATGAATTTTAGGACAAAGTAAGGACTTGAAAGGACTATTACTAATAGAAATTTACTTAACATTTACTACAACAAAAAAAAAGTAGGTAGGAAAGGATGAAGACAAATGTGCATTTCTTGCTTGTTCTGCCTTTCTTAGCAAAGTCAATTTTCAGAGTCAGTTAAGAGGAAACTAACCCATAACTTCATATATTCATTTTTATCAACTTTAGGCACATTAAAAAAGGTACTCTCAAAATGTTTCTGAGGAAAAATCTGTAACTCCACTGGTGCTGACTTGCAGTAATAATGGAAAAAATCAGGAAGTCAAACCAAGGCAGTAAAGAAATGTTTGCAACGACAGTGATGGAGTTTGTTTCGTTTACTCAGAAAAACCTGCCACATTTGTTCTTCCATAAATTTTAAGTACCATCAACTAAAATGTACCTTTGTAAGTAAGAGCATTTGTCAATTTATGCCCTGCCATCAAGGCAAGCTTAAGACATTGAATTTTCCACCTGTTCCACATTGTTTTAATCAGCAAAATGAAATCTGAATGAAAATAAATCATAAGTAAAACCTGTACATTATCTTCTGGGCTTCTTGGGGATGTAGAATTCATCTTAGCCCCTTCCAGCATGAAACTAGACCTGGTGTGCCTTTGTAGAGCATTGAGCACACAATTCTGTTTCTCACTGCTATGACATAAATATCAAACAATAACTGAAAAGAGACAAATGACAGATTTTTAAAAATGTACCTAGAAATAAATTATATGCACTTTAAGATAATTTAAAAAGTCACAAACATTTTTTAGAACATGAAACACTGTTTGCTGTACTGCATCAGCATAACTAAATGATTTCAAGTAAAGCTTTTTCTCATTTGCCAACACATTTGTTGTTGATTCTGTCACCTGAATATACTTAACAGACAATAAACGGATGTATGTGTCACCTCTCTTTTATGTGCCATTTTATATTTTTTACAGAACTTCTAAGGAAATCCTTAAGTTGTAGAAAATGCATAAGATGCAAAAATAAATAAATACTACACCGTTTCTTTTAGAAAGCTTAAAATGGGCTATTCAATACTTATTGAAAGCTGATATAGTTACACTCTAAGAAGTAGAGACACTTGATACCCACCTTAACCGGGTAGGTAGAAAGTAATGCTTATCCATAGGAAGTCAGTGTGCCCAACATGTCAGTATCTAGCAATCCTCCTATCACAGTTTCACTACCAAAATTTTAAGTTTATTCCTTTAAACAGAAGTCTGAAAGACGGAAAAATCTTTTTAAATGGCTGCAGCAAACTGAGGTGTTTTCCTTTATGTATTTGTCCAACTACCTAGGTTATCTCAGACCACACAGCAAGAGACTTTATAGGAAAATAATCCTGCTTGTACCTGAACAATCACCAGACAACATTCATCTTGTATGAAAATAATATACTTTTAATATATTTACAAGACTGACCAACTGGATGAAGTGGCTGTACTTCAAATGCACTGCAAGAGCTTTTGTTAGTGAACTATGCCACTATTTGTACGTCTGTATTTCCTTGATACCAGTTATACAATCAAATGAATTATGAAAGGGTTGTGAAGATTTGGACAAAAGGAATGTACACAGCAATAAGAGGAGAAAAAAAACCACAACAAAAATATTTTTACACCCAGTTTCAAAAATTTTCATTTTTATGGGCAAAGTTGTCAAATTGGTTTTTTCACTACTTTTTAGATTATATCAATTTACTGATTTTTTGACTTAATATCAATATCTACAGTAAAAGCCAGTACATCTCAAACTTGCATGCTAGCTAGTAGCATCAATCCCTTGTAAAAAAGTTCAATATATATTGAATTCTTCTGGGAGCTTTGACATCATTAAGTGGTGAAACGTATGACAGTAAGATAAGAAAATAAAATAGTATTTCTTACCTTTTGGCCAGCCATTTGCAACCACAAATTAAACAGCCATTAAGATCTTCTGTTATTTTATATATCCCATAAAAGTGCATGTAAAAAGAAATTTCACAGAATTTCTAGGTAGCATACAATGACAAGAGAGTCTTGGTTTCTGATACATTCAATTTGATAAATTTGTGCACTAAAATGAACAGATGCAGACATTGTGGTATCAGTTCTTTATCTTTGGTAAAATGATTTTGATTTATTATAGCCATATTTGCTCTGATATCCATTTTGAGTATGGTCTGCTATTACTTAAACCAACAAGAAACATTAAATGGATATAAACAGTATCAATGTGTTGTTTAGTACATTCATGACTTTTTTCATACATTCTCTGAGAATGTTTCTAGCATATGGGCAAAATGAGCAAATGCTACTAACTATTATTTACTCCCAGTTTAACACAATACATTTATTGGTTCTTGCCATCAGGAAAAACCATTTTGTTTTCCTTTTAAAGGGATCAATATGACTCTAAGAACAATAAATTCTAAAAATCTGAAGTAAAAATATGAAATATTTTGTACTTCCTTACAAATGCTAAAATAGAAAATTACACTGGAACTGACTTAAAATTTGCTATGACCCATCTAAGTAAACAACAGAAAAAGACCACAGAGAACATCAACAATTGCTCCAAGGTGTTCCAGTGATGCTCTATAGGCAACCACTGTCTTTACTGTATTAAGAATCCAAAATTGACTCTCTTTCACCATTTCTATCAATATTAGATTTTTTTTAAAAAGAAAGAGTAAACTAGTTTTAAAGCAGCACTCTCCAGTGACAAGTCATACAGCTAATCCATATTGTGTTCTGGATGGTCTTTGTTACACTCGAACATACTAATGATGCAAACTTGACCATATGAACCTAAGTTATACATACACAGTTATGTCTCCGAATAGCTACTAATTACACTAAAACAATTTGGCAAAGTGAGAGAATTCTGTATCCCTACACCCAAAATATCCAGATGCTACTGCATTCATGGAAAAATTAAGTTACATTACCACAGCTCATATGCTGGGACCCTGAAACGCTGGATTCACCACAAAACCAATCTTTGCGCATACTTTTTATATATGCAATTCAATAGAAACACTGGAAATCTTTGGACATGATTTTGATAGAAAGTAAGGTCTAAATTTTTTTTTTACGTTTTTGTTTCAGGTCTTTTTAATGCTGCTGTTGCTTCTGCTATTTTACAAACAGGGTGGCAAGCAAATGATGGGAAGACATTCTGTGGGCATAGGCTTGGGTCTGTTTTGCTGGCTTTACCCAAGACGAGCAACCCTCAGTCACTCCAGCAGTTACACTGGACAAAACAATAACAGAACTCATAGGGGCATTATCAAGCTTGTGGTGTCAATACAAAAAAAAAAAACCCAAAAAAAAAAAAAAAACCCCAAAAAAAACCCCTTTCACACAGTGTGTCTCAATTCTTCAGTAGAAATTATTGATTTTAGAAATAAAACCAATGTAACAGTCAAAAATGCAAATGACACCATTCTGACCCACTCTTGGACGGACACATCATAACTTCCAGTACCTCAATATCATGAAGAACAAAACAAGTGTGAAGCTGAAGTTACTGTAGATGCAAAGTCTAATATTCCAACGATTTCCAATGAAAATGGCACTTTCAAATTTAAATTAAGCTTAGTCTACACATTTCAAAATCCAAATTAATTAAAAATACTGTTTATAATGGTATAGTGACAAACTGCTCTTGAAGAGCACAACCATAAAAAAATTTGTTTTATTATTAGAAAGTGATAGAAAAGGAAGATGCAGAAATGGGGAGTGGAGCAACAGTTTCAATACATGTATTTGCACCAGTGAATATCATGCTCTTAGCGAGTCATTGGTAGCTGTCACTGATGGTCTTTACCCATGTACAAATGTAGTCAGCCACTTCCCACTGCTGCGGTGCCAACAGAAATGCAACACGCACACTGAAACACAACAAATTTAGTGCCTTACTGTCCCAGGTGCTGAGAACCTTCAACTCCCAACAGGCCCTTCAGTCTAAACCAAAGCACACTCTTGACAATAATTTAGTGGTCAAAGTCTTAGCAGTTTAAAGAGCCTGTCACTTTTTTTGCTTTCTTAGCTTTTTTCAGTATATCACACTTTTTTCTGTTAGGACGCCGGCACCTTTCATCGATGCTCGGTATACATTCATAATGCCAAACTTCTTCCATTTTCTCCACAGGGTAAACTGCCTCCACATAATGACGGATCAGTCTCAGTCTGATGGGATCAAGCTGTTTTTTATTACAAGCACCTGAATGGTTGTACTGCAGTCTCAGATTCTCCGGAGTAAAGAGTTCAGGAAAGAGCCTTACGAGAAGCCTGGCAGCAAAGTTGCCGACTGACAGGCTCTGCTGCACTATCTCTCTTATCTCCTTATCAGACAGCAAATACAGAGAAGGCACAGGGAAGTCTGGATTAGGAACAACAAGTTCATCGAGTGGTATCTTGCAAAAATCCTTGCTACTTCTTTCCGGTGGCAGCGGTGGCCCTTCAAATTCTTCCCGAAATCTCTCAGGGTTTATTGCATAGGTGAGAAATTCCCTCCTGTCGGGCCCTGGCATGTGGATTTTCCGTTGTTGTTGGTACGAGCGCCTTTGCTCCGTGTCTCTTCGTCGACACCTCTCATCAAGCTTCCCAACAAACTCCAATGTCCATACTCTGTCATTCTTTGCTCTGGGGTACAGTATCTGCACATAATGTCGAATTAATTTAATTCTAGTGGGGTCAAGCTGTTTCTTGCCTAAGGATCCGCTACAGTTGTATTGCTTCCGTAAGTTTTCATGAGTAAATAGTTCAGGAAATAAGAGAACAAGCAATCGGGAAGCAAAGTTGCCTATGGAAAGACTGCTTTCATATATGCTTTTAATCTGTTCTTTGTTCAACAGGTAATCTGGGACAGGGACATCAAAATCAGGAGGGGGAAAGTCAAGTTTGTCAAAATCTATGGGTACAAGCCAAATTTTTTTTGACCGTCTGCCAGGCTTTTCATATTCAAAACTGTCTTCCACTTTTATGATTGATACATCATCTGGTAAACTAGAAGAATCGTAACAGTCATCTCTCATCTGGTCACATTCACTTCCATCCATATACGTACTTTCAAGCTCATCATTTATTCGCTGAACACACTGCTGCAACCAGGCTTCTTCTTCTTGCACATCTGGAAAGTAAATTTCAGTGTACCTACGGATTATTTGAAGCCGATGAGGATCCAGCAGTTGTTTTCCAGAGTCTCCAAAGCAGCTGTACCTTTCAGCTAATTTTCTGTGGTCAAAGAGTTCTGGAAAAAGTCTGTGTAACAAAAAAACAGAAAACTCTCCTGGTGAAGAAGCTTCATCTAAAAATTCATTGAGATCCTGAGCATCCAGCATGTAATCTGAGGCAATGACATTACTCCTGTCCAAGGACAAAGCTTCTTCCTGCTCTTTATCCTCCATAAAATGAGAGGACTCGACCTGCTCAGTCTCATAAAAACTGGATGATTGCACATTCTGCTGACTGTTTTCCATTTCCCTTTGAGCCCAAAATCTATTGAAAAAATCATTGACTTGAGGCAAACACTCCAACTGCCACACAGCTGTATTCTTCACAGAAGGGTAACAAACTTCCACGTAGTTACGAATAAGCTGCAGATGAAGAGATTCAAGTTTCCTTTTGTTGAGAAAGCCACAAGCACTGCAGCTTCTGCCGAACTCATCGTCACTGAAGAGCTCTGGGAAGAGCTGCACGAGCAACCGGCAAGCCAGGTCCCCGCCCGATGTGCTTTGATCCATGATTTGTTTCAGTTCTGTAGAAGTCAGCTGGTACTCCGGGGGAGGCTTGAAGTCAGCAACGGACTCTGCTGGACTGACTTGCTTTTTAATTCTGCTAACCTCCAGAGACAGCAGGTCAACTTTACTGTGAAGCTGAGTCATATTGGTGTTGAGGGTGTTCAGCGTGTAAAACATTTTCTGTATCAAAGAATATATATTTGATTCTGAATCTGCTGCGGCTGCTGCTACTGCAATGGCTGTGGCCGAGTCTCTTTTGCGTTGGTCGTTCAAAGTCCGAATTTGCGAGGGACTGCTAGGGTTGATTTTTTCAAACAACTCGTAAGAAGCAAACTGCTCTGCTCCTGGTGGGTTCTTCTTCTCTGTGATTTTGTGCGAGATGCCATAGAGAGGTTTTTTATAAGATGGAGTGATTATGTCACTGAAGGATTCTTCTTCACAGAGCCATGTTACATTAGAATTCTTGTTCTTGTTTAGCTGCTCTGCGTTTACCTGAGTGGGTGAGCCAGCATCTCTGTTCCTCATGTTTGAAAGGGAGCCCTTCAAATGAATAAATACTGTATTAGTAAGACTGCCTTAAAGATACTTGCTATAAATATGTGCTCCTTAAGCAAGCATTGTTACATAAATATGCAAAATCAAATTTTCTCCAGGGGACTTGCTGTGTTAAATAATAAAAATTATTAAGTTCACTAGGAAAAATAAAATCACAGTAAAGTATTATTTAGGTTTCCTTTCTGTTCCCCTTTTTTTTGGCTCATGGCTTTCTCCATGGAATAGAAATGCAGTAATAATTCTTAGTACTCTCTACCCACAGAGCTCTAATTACTCCCCCAAATTAAGTATCATTAGGCTTCACCTTGCATATGAGGATCTTGGGCTGTCAAGAATTTGGGTGGCAACAAGTCAGCAACAGAGCCAAGAATAGCATCTAGATTTTCTGACTCCTAGTCCTGTGACCTTGCCATTGCCTCCAACAACTGCATTTAACATTCCAGCACTCTCTTTAGGTTAGCTTTTGAAAATGTCACAAAAGCTATAAAAAAAAAAAAAGATTATTCTATTTTTTTCAGATGTGAAAAGTTTATACACAGGTTTAAAAAAAATATCTTTATAATGGAGAACTACTAAACAAATCCCAGAAATTACTTAATTTTTAAAAGATATTCTATTTAAATAATAAAAAAATGGAAAGTACCTTGGTACAGTATCTTTTTAAAAAGGAAGTCTAACAGAATATTTCTTTATTTCTGAAAGGCAAGGAAGTTTAGACTTGTGGATTTCTAACTTTCTTAATTATTTAAACTATATAAATTTATATAATTTATAAATTATATAAAACCAGTAATGAATTCTTAAGGACTTAGTGCGTTCAAGCATTTTCATCATCTCACCGTAGATATGCAGGGCTTGGATGATTTGGGGTTTTTTCTTTTGCAAACACGTGGATATTGCAAATAATTCTTAAAAGTTAAGCAGATACAACAGAATCAAAATCCAACATAAAGAATTCAAACATGAGAAAACACTCCCAGATTTGTAAATGTTTCTATACTGAAACAATTTTCTTAGCTTGTTCTGTAGAACATTAATTAGATAAAACACTACAGAATTTGCATTCAAGTATTAAAATAAAGGAAACACAGACTTCAGGTCTGAGCTGAGAGCCACAAGAAATTTGAAATCCCAGTGAGGAACTTGAATTAAGGTTTCTTTCTTGAGAAACAGAACTGTAACTCATGAAATCAATGTGGTCCCTGTGTGTATTCATACTTGGTATCTGCTTACTGCAGTGACAAATTGAATCTAATTATTTTTTAATTTCTAATGCAATGCATACTCAAAGGAGACTCAGAAAGAACAAGCTGATTTCCACTCCAAGTTTAGAAATCAGCATTCAATTGAACAGAAGCTGTTTCCTAGTCCTGCTCTCACTCACAAAACATTACCCTACATACGAAACCTTGCGTTTGCACATCCAAAGTTGTGTGGAGGGATGATCAAACGAAAACATAATGCCTAGGCAACGCATTTCAGTGTGCAGAATCCTTGGCTGCCAGGGTGCCTAGGACACCTGGTTTCCAGGTCCCAGTTTGAAGACTGTCCCACTCCAGTCCCACTCATAACAAAGCCAGAACAGCGACTGAACTGCGAGCAGACTGAAGTCCACGTTGCCCCCACTGAACTGCAGGCTCCTAAGCTGGGACTGATGTTGTCATACACCACCTATACTTGTCAGTGAAGAAACAGAGGTAGTTCCAGATGGTAGCAGAGCTCTGCCACACAGACATCACCTGAAAGCACGCCATGAAAATCCCCCCTGATGATGTGCACAATACTGCTCTCCGGTCAGGCACACAAACTGAATTACAAAGCTTTTTACTATTTTAGATTTAAAGAACAAAACACTTCTTACACAATCAATGAGACCTACCACCTAAGTCCCTCTTTCATTAACACTCCTGTTAACTGAGAATATACCAAATATTCCTTCAGAAACAGCATATGACTATCTCAATTCCTTCTCTACTACTAAAACCCTGCTGCTAAATAGCTTGCCATGGGCCACCAGGTATCTGTCAGTTCTCATTTGACTTCCTGCTGTTAATTTTCCCTAATTAATTATATAATAAAACTTGGCAATATGAGGGTAACTTCTATTGATGTGCACCTCACACACAGAGTCAGGCCAAATCAATACTAGAATGTGTATTAAAGAACATTAATTCATTCTTTTGACAGTAAGATCATTAAAGTTTGCAGTCTCAGTTTTGGACATGGTGCTCTGGCGCTCATGCTAAGAACTACAGCAGATCTTCATTACAACAGCAGCTGACCTTCTTCCTTCACTAATGCAGCTCTCAGTGGCCGGATCTGGCTGCAGGATGGATTTGCATTTCAGAATATTTGCATTTCAGAAACACACAGTCAGTGTTCTCCTAGCAGATGACAAGACAAAACATTTGAGGCTTAAAAATATTTAAGGATATTTTCGTTCAGATGCATTCTCATTTTATTTTCTTTTGCTTTTAATTATCTTGTCTGTAGTTTCCATCTGGGAACAGAACTATCCACACCATAAATACATGGCTTTTGTAAATTCTCCAATTTAACGAATTCATTTTCTGTAACGCTGATCTTTAAAAATCCACGAATTTCAGGTAATACTGCACCCATTTAAGATTATCAGTTCTAAAGTACTATCAAAAAAGAAGCAAAGATATTGTTCTATGAGACTCAATGTATGTAAGATAGTGCTGCTTTTTATACTACAGTTGCACAGCAAGTTTTTATGTTCTAAACATTTTATGAACATTTGCAAAGCGCAGTATTTTGCAAAACATCGACCAATACAAGAAATTGTGAAATAGTCTCTCACATACTCTCTTGGAATCCTAAGCCAAGTTTTAAAAGTTGCTTAGTTATTGTTCTGCTCAATGCTCGAGTCCATTTATGACCTTTGCTATGCTTAATAAACAAAGTCTAAATATCTGTAAGAATACAATGCATAATATTCAAGCCCAGGAGTAAAGAATAAATAAATATAGGAGCAAGAAACATAGATTCTTTTAGACACATAAGAATATGGAAAGGTCCCGCACATAACTTTTTTAAACTTACCATCTTCTACACATTGTTTTTTTTAAAGAAAATCAGGGGAAATTAATTCCTGATTATGAAGTGGCATTCAAAATTTCAAAAAAAGGGGAAGTCTTCAGATAAAAAGTAATTTAGTAATATAATTACCAGCTCAAAAGAAGTACAACTCTGTTTATATCACAGATAGATGCCTATATGACGTGCAGTAAAAATATACTACAAGCACAACATTCTTTAGAATAATTAATATTTTTCCATTGTTTAAATAGAAATAGTTAATTAAATCATCAATTGAAACAAAATATTGGTATTAGAGAAGTAATTAACTTAAAAAATGCTGTTAGGATTGAGGACTGTTTCTGGTTGGTTATTTAACTAAACATGCTGATTCATTGGGGTCAGACAAGAATGAATTTTCATCATTATTACTAGGTCAACTTCTGCTATTATGAATCCAAAGTTGCAATTAATTTCAAATTAAACTTTAAAATTTATTAATGGCAAACAGGCAAACTCAAAGCAATCACAGTTCAGAGACCATTACAAAGCTCTTTCAAGAATCTGAATGTAAGGAAAACAATTGTAAAAAGAAAAAGAGAAAGGAAAAGAAAGAAACCGTGTAATAAGATTAAAACCTACCTACCACAGGCATTCAGGGGAAAAAAACAGCCGTAAGAAGTCAGGGAGATGATAGTCAAGAAAAAGAATCACAGAGAATTATGGCTATAAAGAAAACACGAAATGTGCAAATGCAACATGGCTAGGTAGCAGAAGAGCAGAAAAGGATATGTGCATTAGGATAGGTCACAAACTAAATATAACCCAGAGCCTGAAGTTATTCAAAAGAGGATGAATTTGAATCTAGGTTATTTTAATAAAGTGCTGAGTGTGAAAAACAGGAGGTCATTATAGTGCTCTAGAGAGCGGCAGGAGAGATGAGACTATCCAACACCGGACATTAGTCTTTCTGGACTCTCAAATGGAACAACAAAAATATAAGGTGACTCCTGAAGAAGAGCTTGAAAAAAAGAGAATTTTAATCTTGGAAAGGAAGGACTGAGAGTGGACAATATCACACGAATTTTCCCACATGCAGAAGAAGATTTTTCTAGGAACAGATGATCATTGCTCTCCCTACTGAAAAGAACAAGGACAAAAAGAAACCAGCACAATTTCAGCAGAGATTAATTAAAATCCGACATTGCTAGAGAGGCGAAACACAAGATCAGGATAATGGAAAAGACTGGGCATCTCCTTCACTGGCTAAAGAAACATCTGGATTGTCCCAAGCTGGGATGCCACACCAGATGCTGTAATACATTCCACTCTTGATATGGCTGAAGTCTTCTGCATCCCTGCATTTTTATCCTTCAAATAATACACTAATTTATACGGGTCTCACTGATATTAAATCTTTGTTGCAGAAGAAAGAATTACAGCCCTGATCCTACCACTCAGGATCAAGCTGAAGGACTGTGTGACATGAGAGTGACTGTAATCAGAGTCATGCTCAGTTACTCCAAATCACTGCCCCTTCCTTTGTCATCTGCTGTACAACAAAAATATAATTCACGTAAATTTATTAACCTATAACTATTAACTGTATTTCATAAATATGATCACTTCCATGTTATTTAGAGAATACTCAGCCATGTGTAAACTGGCTTTAGATTAGACACATTTGCAACAAACTCATTACCAATGCAAATTTAGTTAAAATACTTGCATTCTACTTATAGCAGCAGAGAATTTAGCCTAGGAAATATGAACCAAAAAATCACAGCCGTGTACAGAGAAGTCACCTCTTGTGTAAATCGTCTCTTCTTCACGCTGGGTAAGGCATCCTGCTGGCCTCCTGACCCATCACAGCCAAAGGAGTTCTGTTTCCGTTTGTTGGAATCCTGTAGGCAAGTCACTGCGCCATCCAGTGAGTGCTTCTCAGCAGATCTGGAAGTTACTGAGCAGTCTAGAGCTTCATCTTCATTTTCTGTTTCTACTTTCACATTTTTTTTAGGAATTTTTACTGAAAAAAGAGAACAGTTAGAAAGATATAGCACCCTTTCCAGAAAACTATGACATTCTTACTGTAATGTTCTGAGGTTTGTTTCTTTTTATGAAAACATGTTTTGAAGAACTTCATTATTTTTTAATACTTCTATAATAAGTGTATATTAGGGCCACCTCAAAGTCAAATCATTCAGTTTTCCAGTAAATTACAGTTTCTTCTCCAAAGAAGAATCTAAAACATAAACAAATAATGTTACAGGAAGAAGATTTTTTTGGAAGGGAGGAAGGATGTAGAGCAGAAATAATAATGACTAACAAAGATAATGCCCTATTTCAGATAACTTTAAAAAAACCACTAGTGTAATTTGGCTTGATCCAACTGCATTCTTTATTAGGTGACAAATGCTTTAAATCAACAAGTATTTTTGCCTGGTCAAAAATTATATTAAGTATAATATTTTACCTTCATCATCATCAGTGATTTCAGCTGAATTCATCTTCTATCTCACTAAAGAACAAAACAAAAACACAAAAGTAAATATCAGCATCTTCCAGAATCAGGGAATAGTCTACATCTCCTCCTTTTTATCTAGAAGTATTGAGTTAACAGCCCACATATGACAGTCTTTCCAGTCTGTATGTTTGTAATAACCAGTTATTTTCAGTAACCTTTATGGCTATCTATAGACCCATCAACATGTAAACTATATTGTTGACAACATACAGCAGGTAGAGAACTATTTAAAACTCTATGTCTTTTTCTGGTATAGAGAAAAGTAAAAGTCATTCTAACCTTCTCTGTAGTGTCTTGGCAGTATATAAATGGAAGTTAACTGTAATAAAGTCTTCACCCTGTACAAAATCTCTATTATTACAGTCAAATGTTTTCATATTGTCCTTGTGGTTGACACAAAATCATCACAGAAAGAAAACTCATCATAAATCATACATGTTGGAGTAGAGTTTTTATTTTAAAATCTTTGATCTTTTGATATAAATTGCATCAATTCCAGCAGAATAATGCATATAGATCTACACTAAATCTTTTTTCTCTGTCAGTCTCTAAATAATTTTGTTTTTGTAGGGAAAAGCAAATTTATGTATTACGCTAGCATGATTTTAGTGTTACTTCGTTACTTCTCACATGAAAAACTCATACTTCTGTTTACTTGAAAACTAATTTCCCAAGTTCCTTGGGGGCAAATATCAATCTCTGGATGTGTTCCTAAAAGATATTCTAAATCTTTGGCGATCTACAAAGCAAACAAGTTAGTCAGATATCACTGACCCTCACAGGGCATGCAGCTGCAAACTGACACTCTCAACTGGTGAGCGGGTGACTGGCAAACTGTCACGCTCTGCTCATGCTCCTCTACACGCTGCATATTATGCTTATCTGGCGCCAGAATATTATTGCTTTACAAGTGCAAGTCAATAAAACCAGTCAATCAAAAGTGTACATACAGCCCAGGAGTGGGAATTACAATGAAATTAATAAGAGAGATGGGGAGGGAAAGCCAGAGAATCTGTTGTGGAGGGAAAAACAGTCTGTACCTCTCTCCTGGATAATGCTGAATACTATATATATATATATATATATATATATATATATATATATTTTTTTTTTTTTTTTTTTTTTTTTTTTTTTTTTTACATCTCAAAATGCTGTTAAAAACTCTGCAAACACTTGAATGCTGTGTAGATACAAATTTCAATTTGTAGGCAACTTGATGGCTGCAATAGTAACTATGAGGTTCCATTCTGGATTAGATTTTGTATGATTTACAATGGGTGGCACCCAAACAAAAGACACACAGATTTATAAAATCAGCTTATACTGGACCACCCTTGAAGCCAAGATACTCTTTGATGTGCCGATCTTCCACATGGCCCCTATATACAGCCTTGTAAAGGGCATCCTCAAGGGGATACAATGAGATTGTCTTCATCATCATGTATAAAAATAAGTCTCTCCCAATTGGATGTAGAGCTACTACAAACCCCTGAGATACCTTCTCCTTTAACTCACCATTATTCCCTATTTCAGGACTTGCATTTAGGAATTGATTCATATATCAATTATACCAGCTTAACAGTACCATAATCATGTCACTTAAACCTCTGCAAACTCTCTAGACATAATAGTGTGAAACTAAGTGGCCCACACCAACTTCTAAACCACCTGATAAACCCAGATATGGGTTAATACCAGGTCTTATTAACTCAACAGTATGTACAGATTTAGACAAAGCCACTACAGCTCGTTGTGAAAAATCCTACAGCAGTCTTCTCACAGCACTATCAAAAAGCTCTCCTGGACTTTAAGAAAATCCCATTGTACTAATGGTTCATATTTTGCCCTGATATCCCATATACATTGATAGTTACTGCCTGGATCTTCCTTGCACTTTTCCATGCTGCACTAGGCGTGGCTCTGAGGGCTGGGGTACAAGACCAACTCATGCCAGTGCTCAGGGAGTGTAACACACAGTCTTTTCATGAGGGCTTGAGGTGACAATAAGCAAATCTATCAATACCACTACAGAATACTCTAAAATGGAGATCAAAATGATTTTTCATATAATCCTAGACTGCTTCATCAGAGCAAAACAGTAAAAAATGTTAACCATAAAGCCAGAAGAGAAGATTAAAAGGTGGCAGTGGATGAAACAACACAAAATATGTAGGAGGTAATATATGGAATTATATTTTCTTTCCTGTTACTACTACCATTCAAATAGGAAGAATGCTTTAGAAGAATTCCTATCAGAGAAAAAAATCAAACTGAAAGGAGAAGATAAATGAGTATCCGAAGAGCCACTTTTTAAGACTGGAAAAAAGTGAAAAATAAAGCAAAGCAACAGTTAACTTTCTGAAGGAAACAGTATTAGGAAGGCCAAAGCTACCCTGAATCCAGGTCAAATAACACTGAGTCAAAACATTGTTTCACAAGTTTGAAATACAGTGTTAACTTTTGGGCTTTTTTAATCTGAAAACTGCCAGAATACAATTAAACGTGAATAGTCAAAATTAGTGTCAGAACCAATGAAGCCTATGAAGACTGTGCTCCATACCTGAGCTATCTGGCACCAAAAAAAGCACCAACTCCAACTTTTTTCATTTTTGGGAGCCCTAGTAAGAATCTCTTTCCTTATCTAGTTTCCTGTCTTTGTGAGATTTGTAAGAATTCTGGTATGAGAAAATGAAGCACATCAAACATATAACAGCTTCTGTTGAGAGACAGGATTCAATTGTCCCTTTGATTTCCTGCCTTGCAGCCCCACCTGCTCCCTTGGTCAAGCATGGGTGCCCACCTTGACCTTCCATCTTGATAAACGGTCAGAAAACAACGCAATTCTTTTTTTCCTGGGTCACCTTCCTTGTAACTCATAGAGGTAAAGGGCCCAGCTCAGGAGTATGCACAATGTTTGGGCTGGAAAGCAGGAATTAAAATCTCCTCATACCAGCAAGCCACTGGCTTGGTTCAACTATTTAATGATACCTTATTTATTCCACTATCTTGCTTCAAATTCGGGTTACAGTGGACCCATGAATGACTAGCAAGCCAACAAAGAGGCATCAATAGAGCAACTGCATCATCACTTCCACAGGAAATTAGGATTTATGGAAAGGTGGAAAGCCTGTATCTGTTTCTGCTTCTGTATCTGTTTCTGAGCGTGTCTGTGCAAGCATACCTATATATGTATGATTAACAACAATTGTGTTGATTGTTTCAATTCCACTAAAGAGTTAAAATATTCGTTAAAATATTGTTTGCTGTGAATCAGTACTTACGAATAATAATTACTTCCTCTTTAAAAGAGGTAGCAGTGTCAAGGTCTGTTTTGAGGTAGCATTCTAGCCCAGAGTGTGAGAATAAGCATAGCTGAAGTTAAAAAAAAAAAAAAGTCTAAAAGATCTTGGAGCAAAATACCACAAAAAGCAATTGAGTAAGAAATACGTACAGTAAAGCAAACATCCAACAGTTGCTCCTTCTCATGATGAGTATACAAAACATATTACAATCTTATATGTATTTTTTTCAAAATGCAAGATAAATATACTTATCATCCTCAGCCTAATAATTACTCAATGCTATCTAGAGGACAGATGTTAGCAAGTTCTAGGAAAGAGTGAACACTGTACTGAAGCTGGGAGCCCACTGTGAAGTAGTAACTGGCAGAGCAACCAGCTTTGGCAGCTTTCTTTTGCTGGTATACAGACAGATGCTGCACTGCATCCTGTTTTCTGGTGAATCCCCTGGAAGAAAGATTCCAAAACAAACCAAACACCTACAGTTATGTCAGCAGCCAGATCCAAGGGAGCAGGGAAAGAAGGGGAGTCCTGGCATACCTTGTCTGTGCGACAAATTCCCTTCCCACAGATCCTGCTCTCTCTTCTCATCAGACTAGGCAATGAACAAAATAGCCCCTTCAATGAAGGGACTTAACACTCCCTGTGTCGATTACTCTCACTTAAACATCTGCCTCTATTCCAAAAATGTACCAGGTCATGACACTTAACTGCACTGTTGTATCATTTTGGCAATGACATTCCACATTGAGATGGTATTACCCATGGTTAACAGAGAAGCTCAATGCACAGGGCAGTGCTGGGAGTTCCAAAGTATGGAAGAACATCTTAAAAACAAGGTTTTGGAATGTTTCTCTGTGCATTTAGTATTAACAACTACCCTGATGCTGCTTTTGTTCGTAGAACAGAAGATGCGAACCATCTACCAAAATGCACGTACCCAAAATATGCACTGAAGCCTTAAGGATTTAAAGCA